TTGGTGGAATCTCTTAAATTATGCATAATATTAATAATTACTGCTAATTCAGCAAACATGATGTGGGACTTAACATACTTCAACTAACCAATTTAGTGAAGTTGAATAAAAGTAAAACGGAAAGATAAATTTCACTTTATATATAGTAACTATAACACCAACAGTTTACGAAAAAAAGGTACCAAAAGGTGTTGGGGGAGGATGATAGGTGATGATGGTGAAAGCGATTGCCTTGTGGGGGAGGGGGGGTGATGGTTTACTAACAAATTTCTATTGCTGAAGCAAAAAGACAAAACTTACAGATAAGGAGGTCCTCCAACTTACAGGGAAATTTGGGGGTTGGTGGCAGGATTGACACTCCAGCCACCGGAAAAAAAAACTCACACTGGTCCATTCGGACTGGTGTGGTGCTGAGGTATCACCCACCGCACGGCTGCACTCAGGTTCTCATCCCTGAGGTGGTTTGTCACGTGGCGAGTGCGGCAACGTGCTGTAATCAGCGTGTGCTCCTTACCTTACCCCTGTCTTTTATGTACTAAGTCAACTGAAAAAGGATTGTTCTAAGTGATTGGCAAGGATGTAGCCATATTGCAAAAGTTCAGGACCACGGACAGAGCTGCATGCTCCATGTTACTGAAATGGCCATTATGGCCACACATACAACATACACAATTTTGAGTATTAAACATTAATAATTAATTTTCCTATGAGTTATTAGTTATTATGTCATCTAGTCCTCAGCCCTTAATGGTTTGTTAACTCATGTGTGGCTACATTAATTCACCCCAAACCACCTCCAAATACAACCTCTAATGTTACCATTTTCTTTCAGCAGAATTTATGGCATAAATCAACCAAGTTCAGCAACTAACTAAAAGACTTCTAGAAGAAAATACTTACAATATATCTCTACAAAAACATGCAGAGAATCCTATGCATTTGCAAGTAATTTGGCTTGTACTAGACAAAAGTCTCCCAAAATATATCTCTCCCATAGACATTACATTTTTTTTTAGTTACAAATGCAGGATACAAATTTCAGGCATTATCCAAGCTAAATTCTACTAATGAATATTAGCAGCAACAACTAAAAGCACAAGCACTAAACCAATAATCAAAGATATACTGAAAATCATAGAAGACCTTTCCCACAATCTCCTACAAACACTGCAGCCACAGACCTTCGAAACAGACAAAACTAGCACTTAATAATGTAGGATGGATTAAACGATAGGCTGACACTCATCAGTCCACTCTGCCTTTGATTTTGGTGAGGAAGACAAACCATTGCAAACAGGAAGTTCATATGTAAATAAACACATTGATACACAGATAAAAGTTGTCCCAAAAAGCCATATATGACACATGACTAAAAGTCACATATGATACATACAGCAGATAAATGGTGTTATGCTGACCTTCCACACTGCTGGGCCCATCCAATTAAAATGAGCAGGACCACAGCAGCCCTGAATACAACCAATGGAGCTCATCCTTTAGCCAGAATTACAGCCAAAAATTGAAACAAGTGTGTGTCATCCTGTCAGGTTAAAATGACTTAGTTTGTTGATGGAAAGCCAAAACACATTATAAACCTGGTGTAAAGTATAAATAGTTTCAAATTTAAAACATAATTTATGTGTTTCATAATCAAACACTTTCATCAAGGTTCTCACTGACATGCACAAAAATGTCAACTGAATCCAAGATTTACAGCTAAAATATTACATTTAAATAAAGCTCACAGTACCTATACTTTATAGCAATAAGAGGACAAAATACTAAATAGAATAATTCTTACCTTCTCAGTCTTAGGCAAGGTCTGATTTTTTTCAAGAGTATCAGTGCCATTAATACTTATCAAATCCACATCTGCAGTCGGACACCGTGCAGGAAAAACCACAACGTCACTCTTCAGGGTGTCTGAACTAAAACACACGTCATACTGCTGGGTAGATTTAGAGTAAGACCAGCTCCCGTCAGGGTGGGTGGTGATCACTGGGGTGCTGTACTTGTTGAAACTGTCCGTCCGGTGACATTTTATAGCTATTAAACTTAAAAGGCTCAGTAAAAATATGAGTGACACTGAGACTATGGCAATGAGGAGATAGAGGTGTAAACTGGAGAAGCGATCCTCCTTCACTGGGCGCTCTTTGAATGCAGTCTGTATATCCCCGTTACCTTCAACAACCACAACATCCATAGACACTGTAGATGAAAGAGAAGGATCTCCATTGTCAGAAACCAATATAATCAAAGGGTGGGTCCGTAAGTCATTGTCACTCATTCTCCTTTTAGTCCTAATCTCCCCTGTACTGGTTCCAATTCTGAAGAGATTGGTTCCTTTAGGTTCAGAGATGTGATAGGACAGCAGAGCATTATAACCGGAGTCAGTGTCCACAGCCCTGATCTTGGCCACAAAGTATCCCGCTTCAGCAGAGTAGGGAATGCTCTCTGTATTTACGGAACCCTGGTCCGAATAAGGTGGGAGAATCTGAGGACTGTTGTCATTCACATCCAGTATAAAAACATTGACAGTAACATTACTGCTTAATGTAGGGACACCAGAGTCTGTGGCCTGAACCCTGAACTGGAAAGTTTTAATTTCCTCATAGTTTAAACTTTGCATGCTGTATATGTCCCCAGTGACGGAGTTTATGTTTACTATCGTGGATACCGGCACTCCTTTGCTGTGAGTATCCAATAATGAATATGTAATTTGTGCGTTTTCATTGGCATCAGCGTCAAAAGCAGTAACTCTTTCTATAAGAGCCCCAGCTGGGCTGTTCTCTTTCAGATAGACACTAACATCTGGACTGGGAAAACGCGGTGCGTTGTCATTTACGTCAGAAACGTGCACGGAAATAACAGTGACGCTGGAAAGAGGCGGGGTCCCCTCATCAGACGCTGTGATGGTAACATTGTACTGAGAAACTCTCTCTCTGTCAAGCGGCCCATCAACGACTAATGAGTAATAGTCCTTATAAGACGATTTCAGTTTGAAAACAGCAGTGCCAGTTATTTTACAGTGTACATCACCGTTCTTACCCCCATCGTTGTCTTTGACAGTTATTAAGCCAACCATTGTCCCGAGTGCAGCGTCCTCCTTTACAGTATTAATTAACGATGTCACCGTGATTTCCGGATAGTTATCATTCACGTCAATAATTTCAATGAGGACCTTACAGTGGGCTGATCTTGGGTTGTGTCCTTTATCTTTTGCTTGAACGCGAATCTCAATCGCACTCTTTGTTTCGTAATCCAAGACCCCGTTAACAGTAATCTCACCGCTCCCCGGATCGATAGCAAACAAACTGATACTGTTATCTTGGTCGTCGTTTATAAAAGAGTAAATTATTTCACTGTTTTGACCCTCATCCAGATCCGTAGCGGCAACTGTAATAACAGAACATCCGAATGGAGCGTCCTCTGAAATACGGGCCTTATACAGTGTTTTATTAAAAACAGGAACGTTATCGTTGATGTCAAGGACATTAATAATTATCTGCAATGTTCCGGACCTCGCAGGTTTTCCTCCATCAAAAGCTGTTAATACGAGATGGATCACAGGCTGTTTCTCTCTGTCTAAAGCTTTCTGTAGGACCAGTTCCGCTGATACACTTTGCTCTCCTCCACTCTGAACATCCAGACTGAAATGCTCATTCGGACTCAGTCTGTAGCTTTTTACAGCATTATTTCCCACATCTGCGTCACTCGCCTTCGGTAAAGTAAAACGCTCCCCAAGATACGCAAACTCAGAAATATTTAGGTGACGGCTTGGCATACGAAAAGAAGGGGCATTGTCATTGATATCTAAAACATTCACTTCGAAACGGTATAGCTCTGCTGGTGAATTCACCATCGCTTCTAGATTTAACGAACATTTCACATTACGTGCACAGTGTGCTTCCCGATCTATTCTTTCTTTAATGTACAGCACCCCTGTTTTAAGATCCACAGCGAAATACCTCTCATTGGAGCCGGATGCAATCTTAAACCTTCGCGATTCCAGTTCATATATGGGGATGTTCAAATCTTTAGCCAGATTTCCGACGGCGGTCCCTGGATCCGTTTCTTCATTAACAGAATAAACAATTTGTCCGCACGAGACATCCGTGAAGAAAATCATCAACAAAAAGTACATCCACCGTTTACGTATTGGGCTTGGCATAGTGGTCCTGCTGCGCAAAACATCTACATTTCAAACCAAACTCTCTACTGCAAAAATGCTGTAGGTATTATTGTAAATAGCCTATAAAACACGAAATAATGTTAGCAGGCCTATGATCCCACTTCCAGCTCGTCCTCTTTCTTAGACCTTTGTTAAAACGATGCATTCCTTCCTGAAACAAGGAGGAGCCTCATATCCGAATACTTTTTTTCTTAGTCTATAGTGACACCATGTGGATGTTAAATTTGATGGCTAGCAGCGCTATCGACAGTAATGCCACATAGAGTATAGGCTACAATATTTGTAGTTTCCCTTTTGCCATAACATCCTTAGGCGAGTGACATTTAGATTTAGGCTATTTATTTAGCAGAGGCTTTTGTCCAAATCGGCGTAAAAGTGATAGCACGTTGCAACAATACAGCTAATGATAATTTTACTGGATGAGACTAACCCATGGATTACATTAAATTTTAACACTTTGAACCTAATACACGCAAAATCTTTTAACACCGTTAAAGATTCATAGGCGTAGATTTATTTATTTTATTTTTATTTTTTTGGGGGGGGAGGGGCAGAGTTGAAATGGGGGGGGGGGGGAATCATCCCCCTCAATATTATCACATATGATTCCTAGTTTACAAAGAACACATATGGTTAATATATCTAATTTCATACTGTTTTTTTTTCTTACAGTTTTTATTGGAGAGGCCATACCTTCTGCTAAAACGGATTATTCCCAATTCCAACTACAGCAGACAGACGTTCACTGCCAGACCCGCCAGTAAAGAGACAACATAGAGAGTGGTGAACGGAGACGGCTTAGCATGTAAACTTAACTCACTGAAGACCTTGTATCATAACCCACAGTTAACCAATAAAAGGTGATGTGAAATGGTGGAACGTTTCATGAATATTATCATATTTGACTGTGCAAACTGCAACTGGCTTGGTTAGTTAACAGCATAGCACACATAGAAACGCTGATAACATGGTGGTACTTAGCGTTTGTGTCAGTCACGATTCTCACCCCATTGTTAGCTGTCAGGGCATAAAAATGAGTAAGAAGTCTGTCAAAAAATGGGGCAGACCTGGCATTTATGGGGAAAATGCCATAAAGTAAGTTACTCAGTTACCAGAAACTCAGAATGATTTAGTTCCTAAACAATGCTGGCAGAAAGACCCATTTATTACCAAGAAGAGATTCAGTAAATAGAATATCTTCTAGTTGATATTTTATGTGTGTTGTTTCTCTCCGTAAAGTTAGGATGTGTTTGTGAGACAGACAGGGTGCAGGACAGCGGCAGGGGCATCATAGTGGAGGTGAGGTCATTATCCCACAGCGAATGGCTTGATATTTTTGGTGGAATCTCTTAAATTATGCATAATATTAATGATTACTGCTAATTCAGCGTACATAATGTGGGACTTGATGTACTTAAACTAACCATTTTAGTGAAGTTGAATAACAGTAAAACTGAAAGATAAATTTCACTTTATATATTGTAACTATAACAACAACAGTTTACGAAAAAAGGACCGTGACACATCTGACCCCGATATGCTCCCCCCCAGTGTTACTATGACACCTAAGCCCCTGCTATGATTGTTCTAGTAGAAACTGTTTTCTGAGTTATTTACTTATAATGTAATCTGTATATTGGGCTTTAGGAATTAGCTTATCTATTTGAGTTGATAATGTTGGTTGGAAAAAAGAAAAATGGGCCAGAAAGGAGGTGGGAAGGAGAAAGTTTCTTTTTTTTGTTGCGGGGGGGGAGGGGGGGGGGGATGGTGATTGCTAAGCCATGTCACATATCAAATTAATTAAATCTCCCTTCGTCCACTGCCTAGTTGTACTACAGAGACTCCATCCACCTCTAGGTGAGCCTGTTACACTGAAATGCATGAAGCTGAGAAGTTCCACACCTTAACGATGGCATAAGGGGGCAAGATGTTGTTTGTAATCTGAGGATAGAATCACAAATTACAGTAATCACCAACACTAAGACGGCCGTCATAAATTGCGAGATTAACGGGTGAATTTATCAAATTTAGTAGTTTAGTAGGCCTATTTTTTACTCATCTGAGGAAGATGTGATTTATTAAGAAACACACCTGTGGTTCTTAATAGAATGTGAAGAAACCATTTTAATCAAATATCAAAACATTTATTCTTACCTTCTCACTCATGGGTAGCGTTTGGTTCCGTTTAAAAGTATCTGCTCCATTAACGCTTATGCCATCGGCCTCTGCGAACGCACACGGCGAAGGGAAAACAACCACATCACTCTTCAACGTGTCTGAACTAAAACACACGTCATACTGCTGCGTAGATTTAGAGTAAGACCAGCTTCCGTCAGGGTGTGCGGTGATCATTGAGGCATCGTATCTGTTCAATGTGCCGTCTGTCCTGTGACATTTAATAGCTATTAAAATAAGGAGGCTCACTAAAAATATTACCGACACTGACACAATAGCAATAACCAAGTATAGATTTAAAACAGAAAAGTTGTTGTCCTTCTGTGGTCGTTCTTTGAAATGAGTCCGGTCTTCCCCAGTACTTTCAACAACTGCAACATCGATAGAAACTGTTGATGACAGAGAAGGATCTCCACTGTCAGAAACCAAAATGACCAGTGGGTGGATTCTCAAGTCATTGTCACTCATTCGCCTTCTGGTCCTAATCTCCCCAGTACTGGTTCCAATTCTGAAAAGATTGTTTTCCTTGGATTCTGCGATGTGATAAGAAAGTAGAGCATTATAACCCGAGTCAGCGTCCACAGCCCTGATCTTGGCCACAAAGTATCCCGCTTCCACGAAGTAGGAAATTCTTTCAGTATTTACAGAGCCTGAATCAGAGTAGGGCGGGAGAATCTGAGGACTGTTGTCATTCATGTCCAGTATGAAAAGGTTCACAGTCACATTACTGCTTAGTGGAGGGACACCAGAGTCTGTTGCCTGAACGCAAAATTGGAAGTTTTTTACATCCTCATAGTCAAAGATCTGCAAGCTGTATATATCCCCAGTTGCAGAGTTGATGCTGACTATGGGATTAGTCAGAACTTCTTTGCTGTTACCTATCAGCAGGGAATACGTAACTTCAGCGTTTTCTTTGGCATCAGCGTCGAACGCAAACACAGTTAAAACATTAGATCCAACTGGCATGTTCTCTCTTAAATAAACAATAAGCTCCGAACTTGAAAATCTCGGCGCATTGTCATTTACATCAGAAACATCCACTGTAATAATTTTAGCGACAGAGAGAGGCGGAGTTCCTTCATCAGTCGCTGTTATGGTGACGTTGTACTGAGACACTGTCTCTCTATCCAGCGGCCCATCAACTACCAAAGAATAATAATTCTTGTAGGAGGACTGTAACTTAAACGAAGTAGACCCTTCGATGTGACAATTCACATCTCCATTTTTACCTCCGTCTCTGTCTGATACCACAATTAAAGCAATTGCAGTTCCAATTTTGGCGTCCTCTCTGACCATGTTTGTTAGAGAGGTCACTGATATGTCGGGAGCGTTATCATTCACATCAATAACTTCAATTAGAACTTTACAGTGAGTGCTCCGAGGCAAATGACCCTTATCTTTAGCTTGTACCCGTAATTCAAAGGCAGCATTTTCCTCATAATCGATATTACCTTTAATTATAATATCGCCGGTGTCTGGATCAATAGCGAATATTTCAGACTCCTTCATACTGCCATGTTCTAGAATTGAATACACAATTTCACTATTGACCCCTTCATCTAAATCCGTCGCATTAAGAGTAACAATTGGCGTCCCACGAGGACCATTCTCTGACACCCGAACCTTGTAAAGTGTTTGAGAAAACACCGGATTATTGTCATTGCTGTCCAGCACATTAACCGTAATTTGCAATGTCCCGGATTTAGGAGGCTTTCCCCCATCCACAGCAGTCAGCAGCAGCTGAATCACAGACTGTTTCTCTCTGTCTAAAGCTTTCTGCAGTACTAACTCCGCAGATAACCTCTGCTCTCCACCGCTTTGTACATCCAGCGAGAAATGTTCGTTAGGACTGAGTTTGTAGGTTTTTACTGCATTACTACCCACATCTACGTCACCCGCCAAAAGAAGTGGAAATCTGTCCCCTAGAAAGGCATTTTCAATAATATTTAAATTCAGACCTTCGGCAGGAAAGGCGGGAGCATTATCATTCACATCTAAAATATTTACCTCTATTCGATAAAGATTTAGTGGATTGTGTGCAACCGCTTCTAATTTGAGAGAACATTTCCGGGTATCAAGACACAGCTCCTCTCTGTCGATGCGATCACTCACAATGAATAGACCGGTTTTAGCATTTACCTCGAAATATTTTTTATGAGGTCCCGACACAATCTGAAACATACGTGATTCCAGTTCCTGAACATTCAGGTTCAAATCCTTGGCAATATTCCCAACAACCGTTCCCTGGTTTACCTCTTCTGAGACCGAATATACAATCTGACCGAGGTTTGAATCCAATAAGCTAAGAAGCACGACAAACTGTGCCCAAGCCGTCGTCCTTTTCTTGAAAACGCCCATCGCTGTTATGTAATTAGATGCATCAACATTTCAGCAGCTAGTATACATTAGAAAAAAAAAAAATCCGATAATAACGTAAAAAATTCCAGTTCATCCATCGGACAGGCACTGAATATGTTAGTCGAGTGTGTAGAATTTCAACAAAAGATGGACACGCGCAGCACCGAGGGAGGAGTCCCAGAAAATGTATTGGTATTATACTGGGATTTGCGGTCAACAGTGACGCCCAGTGTATTCGAAGCGTACAGCATGAAAATAAACAGATTGATAACAGTTACATTTTCGGATTTCTCACTGCGAAGGAACACAGAGCAGGACACAATACAATGAAATTTGATATGAAACAACTGGTTAAAATGACTCCCAGGTAAGAGAAATGAGGAATAGTAGACGTTTCTGGTATATACATATATGTGAAAGGTAGCACGACCCAAGGCGGTAATTGTGTTACATTTTGGGAGGGGGACACGTCCGCCGTAATATTCAGATATGCTCACAACGCTGTGATGTTGTGGATGTGTGGGTCAGACACCACAGGAGACATAGATGAGCCTGGAGTGACAGCGGCCAGGTGAGACATATGAACCAGTAAGAG